GAACATATATTCTCGTGAATTTCTTCTGACAAGAACGCAGTAACACAAAATGGATTTACTTTCCCTTCTGAAACAACTAAAACACTGAGGGAAAAAATGCGCAAAACGGCTTTCAGACACAGGGCACCAGGCAGCACAGGTCGCTGATCCCTGAAAGAGGAGAAGCAAATGAGGGAGCCCTGCAATTGCTACAGCACCAGGAGAAGGGACTTGGGCAGAGGCTGGAACCTCCCAGAACCAAGGAGATGGAGTTAGGAGGCCAGTGGGTAGGCCTCTCTGGGCAGCATCCCAGAGAAGAGACAGCTTCACGGAGACAGCTCCTGAGAGCTGCAAAGGGTCCCTGTGAGTCTTCAGCTGCTGATCCAGGCACCCTTGAGGCTGAGAAAGAACCACCAAAAAGGGCTAGAGGAAGCAATCCCTGGAGCTCACCCAGGGCCAATGGCAGTTCACATTGCAGCCAACTGGAATGGCAAAACTCCCTAATTCATGAGAGATGAGGAAGAGTATTCACAAGCATTGCCTCAGTAGAGGGGTGAGGTCAGCCCTGGATGAGAGGCTGCCCTAGGTGAGCTCCAGGGATTTTCCTCCCTCACTTTTTCTGGGGGCTCCTTCCCTCACCTTAGGTAGTTTCCTCACACGTCTACACTATCAGTGCTCAGCTGAAAACTTGGGGAGACCCTCCAAGGTTCTCTGGTCCTGCAAACTCTCACTAACCTAACCTCCCCCAGATTCTAAGCACCTCTCTTTAACCCAGAGAGAATGCTGGGCTAGCCTGGGGCTCCCTCCCCAGCCTCCCAGGCACTGCAGCCTGGAAACCAGCTCCAGGCAGTAAGCTGGGGCAATAGTAAAACTCCTCTCATTTGCTTCCCCCTCAGCAATGACAGTTCTCCACTGCCTATTGTTCAGGGTCTGCAAACCATTGCATCATATGTATTTTCCAATTTTTTAGTTATTTAAGCTGCAAGGGTAAATGCCTATGTATGTCTCCATCTTGGCCAGAGGTAGAGATGACATCATCTAATCCTGTTTTTAAAAAACCACTCTGTTCTCTGGGGTACATGTGCAGGATTGTTACATAGGTATACACATGCTATGGTGGTTTGCTGCATCCATCCCCCTGTCATGTACATTAGGTATTTCTTCTAATGTTATCCCTCTCCATTCCCCCCACCCCCTGCTAAGAAAGGAAGAAAGAAAGGGAAGAAAGAAAGAAAGAAAGAAAGAAAGAAAGAAAGAAAGAAAGAAAGAAAGAAAGAAAGAAAGAAAGAAAGAAAGAAAGAAAGAAAGAAAGAAAGAAAAGAAAGGAAGGAAGAAAGAAAGGAAGAAAGAAAAAAGAAGAGAAAGAACCACTCCAGGAATTAGATTGAAGAAGACCAAGGGCAAAAGCAGGAAGACCAGTGAGAAAGCTATTACAATAATCCAGGGGAGAGCCAGGATGGCGTGGGCCAGGATTGCAGGGATGGTGGCAGTGAGAGGTAGTTGAGGCAATGATATACTTTGAACGTAAAGCCAACGGGATTTGCTGACAAAAAGGTTTCAGGTTGAAGACGAAATAGCGATGCTAATATTTTTGGTCTGATGACTGGATGAATGGGGAAACATGAGGAGGAGCAGATTTGGGGTCAGATTAAGGTGAGATCATGAGTTTGGTTTTGGGCAGTTGACATAACCAAGTCTGCCAGGAATTCATTTCTTAACACTGGCCGCTCCCCTCCCAGCCCTGCCCCACTCAGCTGACAGCCCCTCCTGACCAGGAACAGGAAGGTATGAGCTCAGCGATGGCCCCACCTGGGCTTGCCTCCTATAATGCTGGCTCAGCTGAGAAACTACTTAACATTTACGTGGTCTGCACTTTGTAGTTTTTAAAGTATTTCAGGCTGCACATGGTGGCTCGTGCCTGTAATCCCAGCACTTTGGGAGGCCGAGGCAGGCAGATCATCTGAGGGCAGGAGTTCGAGACCAGCCTGGCCAACATGGTGAAACCCCATCTCTATAAAAAATATAAAAAATTAGCTGGGCGTGGTGGCATATCCCTGTAATCTCAGCTACTCAGGAGGCTGAGGCAGGAAAATTGCTTGAATCCGGGATGTGGAGGTTGCAGTGAGCTAAGACTGTGCCATCGTACTCCAGGCTGGGAGACAGAGGGAGACCCTATCTAAAAAAAAAAAAAAAAAAAAAAAAAAAAAGTATTTCATACTTATTGATTCATTTAATCTCACAAGAGCACCATGCAATAGTTGTCATCATCCCCATTTTGCAGGCTAGGGAACTGAGGCTTGAAGAGGTGAGGTGGCTTGCCCAGTGCTGTTTCACTAGTGGATAACAGGGTGAGAACTTGAATCCAGATTCCTGGATTCTAAGTCCAGGATTGTTCTTTTCTATGTCTGCCTGCAGGCCATGAAAGGGGACTCTACATCTTTCCTTTGTTTAAGCAATGAGCTATGAGAGAACATCCCCCCTCCTGCTGTGTGCGCTGTACTGTTGCAGTGTGTGCAGGTACAATTAGAATGGCAGAGGACGGGCTGGCCATCTGCCTGGGGGAGTGGGATCCCTGGGGCTCCTGAATTGGAAGGGTCTTCAGCTTTCAAGTCCTCCCTGCAAATGACTTCATAACACCATAGGAACCAAAGATTGTAAAGCAAGTCTCTCCATCTCTTGCTCTGATCCTTCTACAAATTTGCCTGCCTTCATTTCCCCTTGACCTTCTTTCTTCTGTCTCCATGGCAGAGGTGTGAACTGACCTGTCTTAAGGGCAGTCATTCTACCTGACCACTGAATCCTATCCCCTTGGGTCACCCAAATGACACTTTCTTTCTTCTCTCACAACTGCTGCAGCCTGGCCGGCTCCACTGTCTCTTCCTCATGTGCATTTAACTTGTTTTTATTTCTTTGATCTTTAAAAGAAAACCATCTACCCTCCTTCCTACCAGGGCCAATGCCTTTCAAAGCTGTTACTTAAAATTGTAACCTATGCACCAGGCCATTTTCCACCTCCCACTGACTCTTCCACATACTAGAATCAAGCTTCTGCCATCTCCCTGCATCTGGCTGACCCATTTCACTTTGCTGGCCTCACTGAGGTCACCAGTGACCAATGGTCAAGGATTGATCCTTAACTTAGCGATGGCCACCCTGTTCTTAACACTGTTTCTACATTGGTCTCAAAGACATCACTCTGCCTCACCCTTGGGTGCTTCCTCATCAGTCCCCTTCTTGGCCTCCTTTTCCTCCAATTAGCCTCTGAATGTCAGAGCCCAGGGTTCCCCCTTCCCATGATCTAGATGAGCTACCTTCTCCATAATATGACAGATTGGTTACTCCTAAGGTCCAAACTTCTTTTTGGTAACTGTCTACCATTTTGGAGCAGATGCACCTGTGCTATTGCCTCCTCTGTTAGGTATCTGAATTTGCACGGATGCCCTCAGCCTCATGAAAGCTGAACACGGGGAGTTAAAGGGCTGTTCTCCACCGGAAGTCAATCTGACCCAATCTGATGGTTGCAGAGTGCAAGGGAGGAAGGAGAGTTCGCTAAAGACAGGATTTAGAGAAAAGAAATAAATTAGGTCCAAAGGTCTATCAAAAGAAATATTTTCTGTTCCTTTCATGCAAAGGCCTAGGCCCTTGGGGTCAGCAAAGCTCCTTTCTCCCTTAGGAAAGCAACAGAGAGAAGAGGACAGGCTTGGGGAGGGAGGGGAGGAGGTGCAACTAGTTTCTTTCCTAACAACAATGCGTTGGAGTAGAAGGTAACCCCCAGCTTTTGTACCAAGACCCTTCTGAAAGATCCCCTAAGCCCATATGTTCACTTTCACCTGTATTTTCAGGTGTACAGACCTCCTAAAGTCAACCTGATCTGTGTGCCTGCTACCAGCTCAAATTAAGAACCTTAATTTGTGTGTATGTCAATCCCCATTGAGTCAGCACGGGACTGGCATAGGGCTTAACAGGGAGTGTCCCTATATCCAGGTTTGCCCAGGACAACCCCAGTCCCTAATGTGGTTTTAAGACATTGGGCCATCTGTCAGTTCTAATGGCTATTGGGTGGGGAAAGGAAGTAAGGATGAAACCGAGCAATGATAGAGACCTAATCAGACCTGGGGACTGATCCTCACAGAGGTAACTGCAAGTTCAATGCATAGTATCCCAAGTGTTCTAAACCCAGGCTTGGCCCAGGAAACCTCAATATCCAACCCATGTATTTCAGATAGGACGGTGGCAGGAGGTCCTGGGCAACAGGAAGCACCTAAAGAGAGGAGAGTGGCTGCATGGGGAACCCAGGTGGTGAATCCATTCAGGGCAGGGGCACAGCCCATAGTCTCTATAGCTGAGGCTGGAGGAAGCAGAGCTGGGCAGGGACATCTACCGAAACTGGGGTCCTTGACGGAGAAGAAAAGGTCTGTCAACAAGCTCTTCTGAGTACTTAGTGTCTACAACTTTTTGAAATGGAGTCTGAGGCGAATCCATTGAATAGAGAAATATGGTTTGGTAAGAAATTGTGGTATGAGAAAGTCCAAGAATATAAGCAAACACATATACATTGGTACATATTCCCAGTTCCTTCCCAGCCCCTGGCCTTATGCTTAGCACCTGGAAACTCTCTTTGGAAGGTAGGTGTTCATGTGAAGCAGATTTTACCTGGACCCAAATACTAACCAGGAGGAGGGAAGGAGAGAGAACCCGGGGGAAGAGCTGTTGTGGCATTTGTGGTGCCAGGGTCATGACCAAGGTCATCCATGCCAGAGGGCCCTGGCATGATTCCAGTATTAAAGGGCCACCTTGTCAACTTCCCCAGAGAACGTATGGGAATGAAAACAACCCAAACGCCTGTGAATGTGACACACGTTCTTATGCATTTTGCATGCGTCATTTCACCTGGGCAGGTAACATTTGAGACGCAAACAGATTGAGGCTCAGAGAAGGTAAAGAAACGTGTCCTAAGCACAGCTGGTAAGAAATAAGACTAGAACCCAAATCCCAATTAGTCAAAAATGGAGGCCCCGAAATCCCAAATTATTAAACATAATTTTTATTTCATCCAAGGCAAAGCTAAATACAATTCTACAATGCAAAACCTGTTGTAGAGGCCAGACAATCTGATTACATCCATCTCGTGCTTGAACACAAGTCAGTGCTGGGTGTGTACATCTGCGCCTCCCAGAGGCACTTGCACACCTGAGGCCTCCCAAGGCCCGTTACTGCATCATTTGATCTATAGTTACATAGGAAAACTGACTATGGGTATTGTTGTCATCCAAGCCAGAGGAATAAACCATGCATAAGATAGTCAAAAGCACTGCATACCAGGTGGGAGGTGGAAGGGTAGGGACCCCAACCTGGGACAAAGTAAAGTCAAGCAAGCTATAGGATTTTCCCCAGAAGTCCCCCCTCCAAGAACTCCCTCCCCCCAGCCCTCTGATGGCAGCTGTCTGTAACAGTGAGATGAAGTCATGGAGTGACAGAACACAGAAGCATGGCTGGTCTTCTCTGTCTTTGATTCTTTCTCAGTCTCCAGATGCCTCAACGGGCACAGCTCAGATGAAGAAAGACAGCTCCTGAGATGTCTGGAGTCTCCCCCAGCACACATCACCCCTTCCATGCAGAGCCCACCGACTCCACAGGCACACCGCCATGCACCCCCACTGCCTGCACACGCATGCGTCTGCACACACACACTCCACACGAGCACACCCCACCTCCTGCCATCTCACAAGCACGCTCTCACACCCTCACTCCACAAGGGCTCCGATTAGCCTGCCATATGTAGTCTGAGCCCCATCGGCTCTCTCCCCAGGCCTCTCTAGCATCAGGGGTTTATTCTGGCTGCTTTCTATTAGATTCCTACATGGGGAGAAGCCCAGAATCTGGAAAGCTGACGTCGTATTTTGTAGTTGATGGGGAGCTCGGCACTTTGTCTTAGGTCTCACTGACATCACTCTCAGTGCAGCTGCATGTGCCCAGCTCTCCCAAGACCCACTTTGTAAATGGCTCTCTCTAGCCCACAAGACCTGGAAACCACCGTCAGACTTGCATGCACTGAGGGTCCACTTGGGGAAGACAGCTTTGCCCATATACAACCTAGTGCAAATCCATGCCAGTGTTTCTCCATGGGAATAATGTTGGCATTGGACAGGATGAGTCTTTGTTGTGGGGACTAAGTTTAGCCTTCTTAGTAGTGCCCCCAGGCTCTGGGGCATCCAAAAATGCCCCCTCTACAATCTCGATCGCTTCTATTGAAAGCCATCAAACAGGAACCATGGACAAGACGCTTCAAGCATCAGAGTCAAGGTTTCTAATATTGCAAAGACTAAATAATTCCAAGGAGGTGGGATGGAGAGAGAGAGAGAGAGAGAGAGAGAGAGAGAGAGAGAGTGTGTGTGTGTGTGTGTGTGTGTGTGTGTGTGTGTGTTGTAGAGATGGAACACAGAGATGAAGACAGGACAGACTTGGAGCTATCCCTCCAATTAATACCTGGCTTCCCAGATCCCTTTCCAAGCCAAAAAGATGTTTTTAGACAAAACTCACCAAGCCTCACAACAGTCCTGTGAGGTAGGTAAGTATTATTACACCCATTTGATGGATGGAAAGAGCTGAGCCCAGAAAATCTACATGACCCATCTAGAAGTCAGCAGCAGACCCAGGGGAGGAAAGAGAGAATGGTACCCTTCCTCTCCCCACTCTACGGGCCTTGGCATCCTCTTAAGACAGAAAGAGGAGCCCCAAGGTACTCTGCCTCTTCAAATGTTGCCATTGAGAAGGAAGAAGAAAGCAGTTTTGCATGAAGGCAGTTGTAAGTTTTCTGCATGGCTGGTGGCTCTGGTTTGTCTGCTCCCAAAGCCAGGAAAATCTGAATCCCAGCCCATGACAGGTGCTAGGTAGAGAAGAATGGGAGGAGCACAGGCAGATCAGATGGGGAACTGGTGCGCCCAGCAGGTTGGCTAAGGGACACTGGCCACAGCCACGGGCACCCCGCAGGTGCTACTGCTCCTCAGACTACCCCACCCCCACCCTCAAGAGGCTTGCAGCTGCTTTTTGATAGGGAGAGCTAAGGCAGACCCCAAACTCTCTGCAAAAGAGGGCTACTCCTCTCTCATCCCTCCTAGGGGCCCAGAGGACGGGGCATCAGAAAATCAGTAAAGTAGAGAGGGATTGGAAGCAGACAGGCAGAGAAGCCTGTTGTCACTTTTCCCTGCCATCCCTGGCCTCACCAGGTCTGCCCCACAGGTACTCACACAATGGGCTCCATCAGGAGATCCCACTCCAACATCACCACTTCCCCCTAGGGCAGGCTAGGAACCCCAGTGGGAGCACCTGGCCAATGTCTCCAAGATTCAATCACTGACCAGTTCCAGCCTCACGGCCCCCTCTATGACCCTGGGGAGGGGAGGGCTGGCGAACCCTCACCAGCACCACACCGGGCTCTGCTGTTATGTCAGAACATACCGGCTGGAGAGGGACGGGGCGGGGGTAGGGGGGTGGGGGTAAGGGATAAGACTCAGGACTAAGGCACAGTCTAGCCCCACACACAAGGGGCGTGCAAACCACCTCTGAGAGAAGCAAAGGAAAACTGTGGGCACCCACTCCCTGCTCCTCCCCAACCCTAGGGTGGGAGGGGGTGGCCCAGCTGAGCAGGAAGCAGCTGGGAGCCCAAGGACCCCCTCATCCAAAGGAAGAGAGTTCCTGAGGTGAAGGCAGGCCTTGACCCAGGGCTGGGAAATGAACAACCCTGGGGACAGGGAAGACGGAGGTGTGGTGGACGGCTCGGGAGGAGTGAGCCAATGGGAGGTTGGAGGGTGCAGCCTCTCAGGTGGGAAGGGGAGGAGCAGGGCAGAGCTGGGCTCAGGGGTGCCTGGAGTGGCCATGGTCCTGCCATGCCAGGGGAAGGGTTGCCAGCTTTGACAGGGCTGGGGCAGGCATCCCAGAGACCCAGGACACTGGCTTGCTACCCCTGTGGCCCAATTCCCCAAGTAGAATACTAGGAAAGGTATAGGGAGCACTCAGGTGCTGCAGGAAGGCTCATGGGGGCCCCTCCTCAGCCCCTCAGTAACCCAGAGAGCAGAGGAACAGGCTAGGTGGGCAGGACCTCTCAAGACCAAGGCAGCCAGCCCTGGTTGGGAGGGCTGAAAAACTCTGAACAGGGGAGGGGATAGGCACATAGGGTCCTGGGGCAGGGGAAAGGAAGTTCCCTACTTGGGGGTCTGGGGGGAGTCTGGCATCCTGTGAAGCCAAGGCAGCTCTCACTGTGGGCCCGCCCCCAGCAGCCCCCACCCAGGTCTTTTCCAGAACCCTCGAGCCCCCTCCCACCTCCAGAGGAAGCCACCTCTTCCTACACCCCATCTCCAGGGCCCAGCTCTTAGGACAGCCTTCACGGATCCCCCCAGTCCCCTGTGAAGAGGAGTCTGGAGGAAAACCAAGGCCCCGCTTGTGCAGGGTGGGGAGACCGAAGGAGATCCCATCTGCCCAGGTGTCAGGGGACCAGCCCCTCCACACCACCCTAGCCTCTCCTTTCTTGCTCTTGAATCTTCCACAGACCCCCTCCACTGGCCATCCCTTGTCCCTGGGGAGCCCTGACTGGGAAGGGGATGGGCAGGCTGGGCAGGACTCCGGTTTCTTGTGCCCGGAAAGACTACAGTTTGAGCCAAGCAGCAGATGTCTCAGGCACGTGGGTTCTACGGACGGGGCTCAAGCATCAGTTTCATCATCAGAAAGGGGGCTCCCTGCAGCTGCCCAGCCGAAAGCAGGGCTCACACTTTTGAGGGTGGTTTCTCCTCTGCCTTGGAGCCAGGCAAGCCGTTCTCCGTGTTGTCATTCCCCGAGGAGCTCACGAGACACTCCTTCCTGGAGAGGAAGAGAGGGGACAATGGCGAGGAGGAGTAAGAGCAGGGGTGGATGGCAGTGGGAGCTACGGGCCCTGCACCCAGCCCTGTGCCTCTCCCTGGCCTTCTACACAGCTAAGGCAGCCACAGGCTCTGTCACCTAACCTCTCCACACCTCAGTTCCCTCATTTGTGAAATACATTAAGGGATGACACCTTCTGCGTGGGGTTGCTGGAAGGAGAAATAAGCACTTAGAACCATGCCTGGCATGTAGAAAGCTCTCAATTGGCCAGGCGCAGTGGCTCTTGCCTGTAATCACAGCACTTTAGGAGGCCAAGGCAGGCGGATCACTTGAGGTCAGGAGTTTGAGACCAGCCTGGCCAACATGGCAAAACCCTATCTCTACTAAAAATACAAAAATTAGCTGGGTATGGTAGCACATGCCTGTAGTCTCAGCTACTAGGAAGGCTGAGGCAGAGGAATCACTTGAACCTGGAAGGTGGAGATTGCAGTGAGCCGAGGTCATACCACTGCACTCCAGCCTGGGCAACAGAGTGAGAATATGAAAAAATAAAAAGAAAAGAAAGTTCTCAATAAAGCTTAGCTGTCACCTAGTTGTCTCAACCTGGCAGAAAGCAAAGGGTACCAGGTGCTGTTCCAGGGGTCACTTTTCCCTGTTGTCCCTGGTCTCACCAGTTCTGCCCTCACCAGGTTCTGTGCTACGCCAGGGGGGGTGTCCAGGCCAGCAAGGAGTGTGCAGAGGACACAGAGTCCCTTTCCCCAGGGCCCCCCAGACCTTCCTCCCTGAGCTCTCTGTGACCAGAGGTATTAATAGAACAGAGTCTATGGAAGGGGCAGAGCAGGCAGTGGTTTGTCCTCAAGGGTGACAGATCTGAGCAGAGTTTGGTGGGATGGAGCAGAAGGCAGCAGGAAGGAGAGACCGTCCGATGGGAAGACACCTCCGGGAGCCACTCCACCCTGACTGCCCTGAGCTGGACATGCTCTGACTTCAGTTTGCCCCTCCTCCGCAGTAATGTCCAAGCTGAGCACACAGAGCTCCCCAGGGGGCACCTGCACCCCTCTGAGCTTTGTGCTCATGAAAACGGCCACGTGTTTCACAGCTGCTACGGCTAAACTACGTCCTACCCTCACCCTGGGCTTGGGCAGCTGAGTTGGAGGCCTTTGGGAAGGACTGAGTATTTTGTTCTCATTAATTTCATCTTGCCACATTTAGTTCCCAGGTCCGGCCAACCAACATCTTCCTAGATCCCATTTTTTTCCAGCACAGTCACTAGGCTTCTGGAAGTTTGATAAATACGACAACACTATTGTAGTTCAAATGTTAATAATAACAACAAACAGGTGGAGCCCTGTGGAATACACTAAAGACTTCTACTCAGATGGATCCGTCTATCTATCTATCTATCTATATTGCTATCTATGTCGCTATCTATCTCTATACCTAAGGTATAGTTCACCAAGCCAATTGATAGCCACCTAACTGTATTCCATGCAGTCCATAATTCTCTACTGAGAAACTACTGGGTACCAGGCACTGTGTCAGGAAACGTGCACTCTCGTAGGGGATGTGACATTAAACAAGTGATTGTGTCACTGTGGCAAATAACAGGATGGGGGATGCAGGCAGTAGGGAGCCAACCTAGGAAGCCTCCTCCTAGGAGTCTGGGAAGGCTTTCTGGAAGCATACTTTAAGCTGAAACCAAAATGATGAGCAGGAAAAGAGAGAGGGCAAATTCCAGGCAGAGGAAACCACACCTACGTTTCAGAGTCGATGCAAAAGAGAAGCCCAGAATGGATGGTGAGAGGCTGTCCAGTACCTCCCTGTTCTTGAGAAACCCCTGTCTCTGCTTTTCCCTGCCACTCCAAGGACCCCCTCAAGCTTCCCTATGGCCTGTCCCCTGCCCCCAGGCTCTCCCACCCCATCCCTCTGCCCACCATAGCCAGAACCTTTCTTCTGAGGCTCTCTGACCATGCCAGGGCCCTGCAGTCAGAAGTCAATCACAGCCAGGACTCCCAGGTCCCCAAGCGTCTGTCCCCATCCCCCTCTTCAGGCTTTTTTTCTCCTCCCCCCACCCCACCATACCCAGCTCTCTCAACAAACAAAAGGCTTGTCCTCCAGACACAATCCCACTTCCCAGACTTTTTGCCTTGGTGGTGCCTCCATCTGGAAGAAACTTCCCTTCACTCTCCCCAGGGCTTAAGTTATATTCATCTTGCAAGGCCTGCCACAAACACCCATTCAGCCAGAAGTCCTTCCCCAGAATTTCACCCTGTCCAGCAGCATTTTATCAAACCTCTTAACTGGCACCAATCCCCCTCTACCTTATATTACATTTATTTATATACACATTGATTTGTATCTGATCTTCTTTAGTTAAGGGCAGAATCTCATTCTTTCCAGAATTTCCTACAGCACCTAGCACAGTGCCTTGCATACAGTGTCTCAAAAATAGCCATGAAATGAACAGATAAATGAAGAAACTCTAGATATGCCCAGTGAGTCAGCAGAACATCCTGGCAATGGTGTAAGCTTTGAAGCCTAATAGAGTTCAAATCCCAGCTCTATCCCTTGCTAGCTGTGTGGCCTTGGGCAAGTCACTTCACTCCTCTGAGCCTCACTTTGTAATATAATAATTATGAATAGTGTATAAAATTGTCTGGTGGGATTCCTAACATACGGCAGGCATGTGATGAATGACAGGGAGTATTATTTTCCAGAGCATCTCCTGTTCTGCCAGTGTCCTATCAAGAAAACAGTTAGCATTCCTCTTTTTTTTTTTTAGGAGATGAGGTCTTGCTAAGTTGCCCAGGCTGGACTCAGACTCCTGAGCTCAGGGCATCCTCCTGCCTCAGCCCCCCAGGTAGCTGGGACTTCAGGCACGCATATGCAGCTTGGTGTGTCTTGTTTTTGATGAACCCACTATGGCTCTGAAGGACCGCTATCTTTTCCAAGTGTTTTTAAACCATATATTGACAAATTTGTTCTCCATCCATCGATGGTAAGACTGGTTGTTAAAACAGAACCTAGTTAAGCTCCACACTTCTAGTCTCTCAAAATCACCAAAGCCCTCACTGCCTCTGGCCACAAGGCAGGCAGACAACTCTTGAGCTCTTCATTGACAACCGAGTTCGGGGTCCTCCCCTGTCCCCAGCCCCAACACTGCTCCCTGTACGTCCCCGCCCTACCTCTAACGTCCATCCCCTCTTTCCAGAGTAAGTTGTGCCCTTACTGGCAGAATTCCCTCTTCTCAGCGGAGCAGAATGTTTCAGCACCTTTTTGCTTCTCGTGACTGCCTTCACCCTCTCTGTTCCAGTGGAAAGCCATCTCATCACATCTGACTTGCTCAGAACACAGCTTTCAAATGCCTTTCCCTGCTCTAGTTTTGCAAGGTTCACCACATGCTGCTCTGGAGCCTGTCTGATACCACTCCAAAAACTCTGGACCTAAGGGCTGCACCCTCCATGCCTCCCCCATCTTCCCTCCCCTTCCCCTTATAGATGTCAATTTTTATACCCGAACTTAGCCCAGGGCTTCCTGGGAGGCCATATCTGCCTTTTCAAACTTTTTAAAAATCACCGTCATCTGAATTTTCAGCATTTCCTAACAGAAGAATCTCACTCCCATCTCCCTAGAAGGGTCTTCCCATTTTAGAATCTCTGTGCATGGAATCTTACATTTTCTCTAATTTTTAAAGGCTCCCTAAGTCCTTTGGTAAAGCACTAGGTTGGGTGCTATAAACGGAAAGAGAGGCTAATGGAATGGGAAGGAAGGCGGTGGGATGAGGAAGAGCAAGTGGCTGGTGTTTGTGTACTCAATGAATTGAACATATTCAACAAATATATATAGGAAGGATAAAAGTGGAAAAGCGATGAAGAAGGGGCTGAGAGAAGGGGAGGAGGCTGCAAGGATAGAACAGAGAGCGGTGGGAATAGGAGGGGGGAATGAGGAGGCAGGTGGAAGGCCGAAAGCTGGTGGGGGTCGATGAGAGGGTGTTGGGCTCGTGGGAGGACAGGAGAATGCTCCAGGTCAACTCACTTCTTCTCTCGAGTCTTCTTCAGGATAAAGATGATGAGTTTCTTGATCAGCAGGATGAGGATGAGGAGCCCGATGACCCCGCCCACGACAGCCAGGATGATGAGTGTCACTGTGTTGTCCACTTCTTCCACTGTGTGGCCCGAGCAGGGAAGAAAGGGAAGGAACAAAGGGAGCTGGAGTCACCTGGAGCCGAGCACCGTGGCAATGCAAGGGCTGTGTAGCCTCCACCCCACCCCCTGGCAGCTGGGTGCATCCACTCCCAGACCCCCAGCCCTCCCCAGGCCTGCAGCAGGAAGCTGGAGAGGCAGAACATGGCATCCATCAGGCTAGGGCACACACAAGGGGTGCCTCTCCCTCTCCCCCACCGCGCACATGTCCTCCCACAGATGCGCTCACACGAGTTCTGGAACAAATCAGAATTGAAGCCCATAACACTCAAGTTTGAGTCATGATTCGATCCCCAGATTGCCATGCAAAAATGTCATCGCCTCTTTCTAGGCCTCCTTTGCTCATACAGAAAAAAATTAAGAATCTCCCTATGATACATCTTAGATGATGAGAAGACTGTGGAGTCAGACAGTCTAGATTTTAAGTACAGGATTTAACTATCGCTAACTAGCAGGTGATATCGGGCAGTCCATTGAACCCTTCTAGCCTCGGTTTCTTCATCCGAAAATTCAACTCCTGACTCCTTCCCGACCCTGCTCCTCCCACAGTCTTCCTCCTCTCCACCACCACCAACTTCATCCTCCCAATCGCTCCAACCACAATCCTTGGAGTCTTCTTTGATGCCTTTTACTCAAATCCTTTATCCGGCCTACCTGAGAATCCTGATGGCTGTAACTTTAAAAATTTCCAGAACCCGACCGCTCACAACCACCCTGGGCCCTGGCCCCAAGCTGCCTCTTGCGTGGATGTCTCAATAGCTTCCTAACTGATCTCCTCCCTCTATCATCTATTCTTGGCATAGGGGCCTAAGCGAGCCTGTTCAGGCCTTAACTCCTCTGTTCCCAGTGGCTCCCACCTCACTCATCCTTCCAGCAGGGTGGTTACACAATCTGGCTTGACCTGACTCATCTATCACTCCTGTGATTCTTCATGCATCTGCCTCAGGGCCTTTGCACTCGCCATTCCCTCCCTATCTTCCCAAAGACACCCTCAGAGCTTCTCTTTCACCTCCTTTAAGTATCTCCACTCTATCGCCTTTTCCAGAGAGCCCTTCCCTATTCGCCTTGCTGGCACCCCATCTTCCTTCCCTGCTTAATGTGTTCTTCTTAACACTGGCTATGTTCTCTTTTACAATATCATTTTCTTCTTTATTTTCTATTGCGTATCTCCACACACAGAAGGGGAGGAAGGTAATCTCCACAAAGGCAGGGATTTGTCTATCTTGGTCATATCGCACCCTCCGGACCTCGAACGTCCGTCCCATACAAGGTGCTCCGTAAATATTTGTTGAACAGATGGATGAATGAATCTGTAAAGATGGAGAGACGATCCACCTTGAGGGGAGTTGGTGAGGAGCAAAGGAACTAAGGTCAGTAAGAGCACCTAACTCGGGACCTGGCACCCAGAAACCCTCCATAAATGTCGGTTCTCTTCCCTCTGAAAAGGCTGAGCACAAGTGGGGTGATGGGAGCCCAAACGGAAAGGAAGAGGTGACACCATAGGCAGGCTCAGAAAAGCGGATTGGACGGCCTCTGGCTCTGCCCTTGCACACTCAAGACTGAACTCACGGGTGTCTCCCTCTCCAGGGACTCAGTGTCATCCAGGAGAGCAGCAAATCCCTGGTACACACGAAACACATCAGAGTCAGGATTCTTGAGCAAGCCCCCTTCCCTTTTTCTCTCTGCTTCACTTCTCTAGTTTTCCAGGCCCCCCCCTCCGTGGGACCACGCCTCATTCTCCAGACCTGGTTAACACGTCCTCCTTCTCTAACCACACCAGGTCTGCTCAGGGATCACCTGGCTCCTTGTCTTATGTCCCTTCCTTGTATGATTGGTCCTCCTGTGTCAGACAGGAATCCCAAGTAGGATGTAAGCCCACAGAGGACAAGGGCCATGTCTTACTCCATCTCTGTTGTTTTCACCTCTACTGTGTGTATCATGTATCCCTCACGCTCTGCTCATTCCAGTTATTTATTTATCTTCTGTCCCACCTTGTACTGTGAACTCCTCAAGGCAGAATGGAATGTATCACTCATAGCACTTCTTAGGCCAATACCTGACATTCAGTTTTTGCTAATGGAATACCCAATGGTATTAACAATCAGCATATGTGGAGAAAACCCTACTAGCCACAAATCACTCCCAGGTAGCTTCTCTAACCCTCAACACAACCCTAGGAAAACGCAGCCATATTCCCATTTTATAGATGAGGAAAACGAGGCTTAGAGAGGCTAAACGTATTTCATAGGCTATTTGGTAGCAGAGTAAGTGTTCAAGCTGAGTTATTCTAGCTTTTAGATGTAACTCCAGCAACTCTGGAAAGGGTAAAGCAAAAGAAAACACCAACACGGTCTATTTTGCCATTTCGCTGTAATGCTGAGTTGGGTGCCCCTCAAGTCCTTCCCACTCCACTGCCCTGGGCCAGCCCCTACTGCATACGTCTATCAACGACTTGGAGAAAGATGGTGGCGTGGTGCTGGAGATTATTCTCCTTGGGGTTCTTCACATGGCAGGTGTATTTGCCCGTGTCGCTGAACTCCAGGTCCCTCAGCACAATAGAAATGTTGTTCATCTTCTCCTTAGTAGAGCCCACCAGAGTGATGCGGTCATCGTCTTTCAACGTCACCTTGGGGTCAGATTTCTCATTCTTCACAGTTCCCTCTATAAGCTGGTGGAGAAAGGGGATTGGGGAGAGAAGGTAGCCAAGAAAGAATCAGGGTCCTCAAGGGTCATGACATCACACCAGCCCACTCCTTGGGTGCCTCCCCTGTCCAGGACCAGGAAGAGCCTGCAGTCACAGCCTGCTCCTTCCCCCGTGGCTTCCTCTTCCAACGTCAATAGCGCTGCCTGTCTAACCTGAATTTTGTTTGTTTCAGTCTAAATCCATTTCCTTTTATTAAGGTCTCCCTGGAATGCAGCACAGCTCTTACCACTCTCTTCATAAAAGCCTTTTATGTAATGACTCCTGCAAGCACCACACTCATTTCCCTCTGTCACCTCCCACCCAGCCTTTGCTGACACTATGTCCCCTGCCCATCTGAATTCTGGCCTTCTATCAAGACCTGGATCAATCCCACAACTCTGCCCATCAGCATCCTCTGAGGTCAGCATTTAATTATAACCAGAGTTGGTCTCTTGTGGCTTCCCTGTGACAGTCTCAGGTTGGATCCCCCACTAGATTGCAGAGTGAGTACTCAATAAATACTTGTTGATTGGTTCACTCCCACCCCCACCACAGCCCGCCAATGCTCCCGAAGCTCTTCCTCTCTTAGCTCTCTCCTTTCCCTGCCAGTCCTGTTTCTCAGCCCTTCTCTCCAAGCTTTCCAAAGGCCTTTCTCTCTCCTGTCTGTTAAACTATTGTTTTCTAAGCAATCCGAGTTCTAGGTGTTTCTTAAAACCAGACAGAAGACTCTAGCCAAGAATTCCAGCAATCCCCAAATTCTGGCAACACGATCTAAGCATCTCTCCCAATGACATCCTTCCCGGCAGGCTCTGTAAAGAATACTGGGAGAAAGGGTGGCAAAAGGTGGGTTCTGGGGACCATCGCAGTGGGTCTCAGTCCAGAAGGGACCAGAGCCTGGGAGGGGAGGTATGGGTGAGGGAGGCTGGGCAGTCCTGTCCTTCCCCCAAATACTTACAACCCTGAACGCATCACTGCTGTTGTAGGTCCACCGGAAGTGGAGGTCCTCAAAGCCAAAGCAGCTGGAGAAGGTGCAGGGCAGCAGGATCTCCGTGCCGTTGACAGCGTAGATGTCGGTGGCCTTTCCCACAGACACTTCCAGCGACAGGGTTACGGGGAGCAGGAAGAGACCTGTGTAAGGAGCACCTCGCTTAATAAAACCCCACCAAAACCTCTGGCTGCAGCTCTGGAAGGGGATGCTCGGGCAGGGCGGAGTGGCTTGGCCAGTCAGGGAGGTCTCTATCACCCTCAGTGCCAGCTTCGGGAGGATGACTCTCTACTCCAGTCAACAACGCCTGGGCCACCCTCCATCATTCTCCATTTCTCCCCTGGACAGGACTGAATTCTGGACCAGGTAATAGCCCTTGTGGCGCTCTGAATGACCACCAGGGGTCACCCCAACCCAAGGAAACGAAGGCCTGGCCACTCCCGCGAACCTCTGCCAGTCACCTGGGGACTCGGCGCCTTGCCTGGAGGCGCTCCCGCCGCACGCACCCCGGCACGCGCGGGGCGGGCTCCCTTCTGTTTGCAGGGGAATTCCCCCAGGACAGTGCGCGCCTCTCACCAGGTTTTCGGAACTGGAAGGCGGGGTGGTCGGGGCCGGGGAAGAGCCGGGTGCCGTAAGGTTAAGAAGAGAAACGGCCGCCGCAGTCCCGGGCCGCAGTCCAGCAGCCTCTTGTCCTCGGGCCCTGGAGGCTTCTCCTCCACCCCCTGGGGCAGAGAGGCAGAAGGACTGGTTCAGTCTGAACCTCGCTGGGCCAGACGAGTCCGACGCCCTCTGGCCACCAAACGGGACTCTGGGAACCGCAGGAAGACGGCCGGGCGCGGGGGAGCACTGCGCAGGGCTTGGAGCTGGACGGCCGCGGGGGCGCGCGGGGGCCGCCAGGATGGGAAAGTCAGAGGCAGAAGATACCCTGGGGAGGGATTCCCGGCCAGCCCGAGTGCACGAGCGCGGGGGCGGGACGGGAAGTGCGCTGGACCCGCGGCCCCCTCCTGAGCCCTGCAGCCAGGCCTCCCCCCCACACTCCGCCCCCTCGTCCCGGCGCGTCCCCAGAGCGCCCCTGGGCTTCTTTCCCACGCTTCGAACCTCCTCCCCAGCACTCCAACGCGGCCCCCTCGGCTGGGACGAGGCCTCCAAACTCCC